TCTCCCCACCTCCATCACAGCTCTGACTTCAACCTCCCCCTCGCCAGAACTGCCCTGGAAAGAGGAACTAACCAGCAAAACCAGGGGAAGTGAGCCCGTTCACATGGAAGGAGTCACGGCTTTCACATCACGAACTGCTTCAACTGTTTCTTCCCCAAAACGTGCAGCAGGTGCCCCATGCCACTGAAACCAGAACCCAGCCACTCACCAGCATCCCGGGGCAGAGCTGGGGCAGTGCCCCTGGCACCAGGTTCCTGTGGTTCAGCATTCCCGAGCAGCAGGTGCTTTCCCTAGCACTGCAGACCCTGGGGGAAGGACAGGAATGGGATAGAGGAGGCTGCAGAGGGCCCAGACACCTGTGCCATGGGCTGGGACCTCCAGAACCACCGGTGCCTGCCCCAAGGTCTTGTGCAGCCTCTTCCCCAAGAGAGAAGGGAGACAAGCATTGCACTGTCCCCCACACTGCACCACCTCTCCACTTCATCTCCTTGCCTTTGCTGCCAAGGAAAGCCTTGGAGTCGGCAGCAAAGCCTGTGTGCCCAGGGCCAGATCCCATGAGGGTGGGACCCCAAGGCTGTGGGGCTGGGGACAGGTCCCCTGCATTGGCACCAAGGAACCAGGGGCCACCCAGGGGCAGGGGGGAGTCACCCAAGCACTGGACGAGGGAGCTTTACACAGTGAAATTCCCTGGCCAAAGTGACAGATTTCTCCCTGTCCCACCCGTGGCAGAGCAGCTTTCACAGGAAGGGAGCTTTTGCAACAGGGAGGGCAACGAGCTCTGTGCACCTCAACCTTCTGCTCCCCACACCCTTGTCTTGGTTCCACTGTCATTTCTCACATGCCTCAGCTCTCACTTCTCCTTTCCCTTTCATTTCTCCCCCAGCCAGCCCATTTCCCCAGCTCCTGCCTCCCCGCTCAGACTGGTGGAGGGTTCTGCACCAGTTCAGCCATGGGCTGGGTGCTCTGGGGGGTCTTGCTCACCTGGGTGCCCACGGCTTGGGTGAGAGGCGCCGAGCAGTCCCAGGGGCTCTCCCCCTCTTCGGGGTTTCTGGAGTGCAGGAAGACCCTGAATCTCTCGCGTCTGGAGGTCCTGCCGGGGGGGGGCTGGGATAACCTCAGAAATTTGGATATGGGCAGAGTCATCAACCTGGGCTACTCGCTATGTAAGACCACAGAAGACGGATCTTATATCATCCCAGACGAGATCTTCACTATCCCTCTCAAGCAGAGCAACCTGGACATCCACTCTGAGATCATCGAGTCCTGGAAAGATTATCGGAGCCTCACCTCTGCCTCCATCAACCTGGAACTGTCCCTCTTCTCCTCCATCAACGGCAAGTTCTCCTACGACTTCTGCCGGACCAAGACCCACCACGTGAAGGACCGCGCCGTGACCACCCGAGTGCAGGTCAGGAACCTGGTTTACACCGCCAAGGTCGACCCGGGGGCAGCCCTGGACCCGAGCTTCAAGAAGCAGCTGCTGACCATCGCCAGCCACCTGGAGAACAACCAGACACGCATGGCTGACTTCCTGGCCGAGGTGCTGGTGCTCGACTACGGCACCCACGCCATCACCTCCGTGGACGCCGGAGCCAGCCTGGTGCAGGAGGATCAGATCAAGGCGACCTTCCTGCAGGACAGCTGGGGCACGCGGAGCGCGGTCACCGCCTCGGCCGGCGCGGCCTTCCACAGTATCGTCAGCACGGAAACCCAGGAGACCCTGGATGTCAGCTCTGGCTTCACCAAGCAGTACCTGCAGAACCGCACCCACTCCAGGGTGGAGAGCGTTGGTGGGACCCCCTTTTACCCAGGCATCACCCTCAAGACCTGGCAGGAGAGGATTCAAAACCAGCTGGTGGCTCTCGACCGCTCGGGGCTGCCCCTGTACTACTTCATCCAGCCCAGCGTGCTGCCGGAGCTGCCCACCCCCACGGTGAGGAGGCTGGCCCGGCGGGTGGAGATGGCCATCCGCCGCTACTACACCTTCAACACCTACCCGGGCTGCACCGACGCCTCCTCACCCAACTTCAACTTCCACGCCAACACCGACGACGGTTCCTGCAAGGGCGCCGTGGCCAACTTCACCTTCGGGGGAGTCTTCCAGGAGTGCATGGGGCTGTCCGGCCCCGACACCGGTGCCCTGTGCCAGGGGCTGGAGCAGAGGAACCCACTCACTGGGGCGTTCTCCTGCCCTGCCCCCTACACTCCGGTGCTGCTGGGCATGCAGGAGCGGGAGGAGGGCCACAGCCACCTGGAGTGCCACAACAAGTGTGTCCTGGGCATCTTCTGCCACCGCAAGTGCCAGGATGTCTTCTGGCTCTCCCGGGTGCAGTTCAGCGCCTACTGGTGCGCCGCCAATGGGACGGTGGCCCTGAGCTCGGGATACCTCTTTGGGGGGCTGTTCAGCACCCACGGCACCAACCCCATCACCGGTGCCCAGTCCTGTCCCTCGGGGTACTTCCCCCTGCAGCTCTTTGGCGAGCTCAGAGTGTGCGTGAGCCAGGATTACGAGGCGGGGGCCCAGTATGCGGTGCCCTTCGGGGGCTTCTTCAGCTGCCAGGCGGGGAACCCCTTGGCCGGGCGGCACTGGGGCACCGCCGAGGACCCCCACGCCAAGGGCTGTCCCCCGGGATTCAGCCAGCACCTGGCACTCATCAGCGACAGTTGCCAGGTGGAATTCTGCGTCCAGGCCGGGCTCTTCACGGGGGGCTCGCTGCCGCCCGCCCACCTGCCCCCCTTCACCCGGCCCCCCGCCAACTTGCCAGCCGTCGACACCGTGCTGGTGCGGGACGGGGACAGCACCTGGGTGAGGGATGGGCAGAGCCACGTGTGGCGGCTGGCGCGGCCCGAGGAGATCCGGCACGCGGCGCAGATGGTGGGGGAGCAGGGGCTGACAGGGGGCCAGGTGGCCGGTGTCACCGTGGCCGTCCTGGCCGGCTTGGCCACCGTCCTGGCAACGGCCTGGTACGGCCACCGGAGGTACAGGGCACGGGGGTACCGTGCCCTGGGCACGGGGGATGATGGCGCGGCCCCCGCCGGCCCCCCGGACAGCACCGTGCTGAGCGTGGGCGAGGGCTACCAGCAAGAGCCCCAGGGGCTGGCGGCCTGAGTGCCCCCTGCCTGGATTGCGTGCCCAAAACTTGGGCAAAGCCCCCCCCGCTCCGCCCTGCGGGGAAGGAGGGAGCGGAGGGGCAGCCCAGCTCAGTATATCTATCGGGATAGATATACACACGCGTGCACAGAGCCACGGAGCAGTTTTATTTCAGCCAGCAACCGACTGTGTAGTCAACAGAGCATTAAAAAAAGGAAAAAAAAAAAGTCATGTTGTGGAAAGACTTAGTCACAATAAAAGCCACCAGGCTGGAACCGCGGAGTAGGTGGGGGGTGAGGACCCTCCCTTCCTTGCCCGGATCATGGCAGGGTTTTGCATAGCTCCAGACAGGGTTTGTCTGCACCGGGGAAAACCCAGGGCTGGCACGGGGGAGGAATCACACTGCTGTGCAGCTCCCTGGGCGGCCGAGCCACCCAAAAATGGGGGGGGGTGTTCCTGGGGAAAGAGGTTTTCTCCCTTGAGGTAGAAAATAACAACCCAGGCTAAGGACGGCTGGGGACGGATGGGTGCAAAGGGGCTTCAGGGGGACGAGGGGTGCCTGGCCCTGCCCATGGTGCCCCTCGCTCGCCTGGCCACACAGACGACTGACAGAAGACAACAGAGAGGCCAGGCCGTGCAGGGACCACGAGGGTCCCCTGCCATTCGCTTTATTGACCCCCCACCCCCCTCCACGGGGTGGTCAGCGGGGGTGACAGACCCCCCAGACCACGGAGAGGGGAAAACAGCAATGACAACAGAACGATGCACAGAAGGATGGGCCCCACTCCCGCACCGCCGTCCCCAGCACAGAGGGTGAGGTGACCCTCCCCAGGCAAACCAGGAGGGGAATGCAACAAAACCGGCTGGGAGGCCCCACCTTCCCCCAGGGGGCAACAGCACAGGGCTGGGGGTAGCCTGGGCAGTGGTGGATGCTGCCCCCCACTCTTGCTCTCCAAGCCCAGGGGTCTCGTGGGCAGCCAGACCCCAGCAGTGGGGACAGTGCCCCCGGGGTAGCCCTCAAAACTGTGGGGACCACACCAGCACCCTGGCACAGGCAGCTCTGAGAGGCCCTATGAATCCTACACTGGTTTGGGCTGGAAGGGACCTCACAGACCATCTCATCCCAAACCCCCTGGACAGGGACACATTCCACCAGCCCGGGTCACCCAAAGGCCCAGGGAGCCCAAGATGCCATGGAACACACTCCCCCCACCCCCCATCACCCACACTCTCCTACCCACGCCCCAGCCCATGCCAGTCCCTCACCAGCCCCTCCAAGGCCTCTCTGGGGACAGCAAGGGGAACAGTTCTCAGCCCCACCTGCGCCTTGGCCCCATGAGGACCCACAGGTGACAGCCCTCCTGTGGGGCAGAGCCCTGTTGGGGTTGGGGGTCCCCACAGCCCCTGTCCCAACCCCAAGCACCACCATGCCCAGTCCCAGCCTGGCTCCAGCACCACGTTCTCCCAGGCCTCAGGCTGCCTCCCAAAACGCCCCCCTATATGTACATATATACGACAAAACCCCAAAATACGAGGTATTATAGAAATTCAACGCGGGGACACCCCCATACGAACAGTTCAAGGAACCCACTGTGGTGGGGGTGGGACACAGGCCAGAAAATGTCCATCACTGTCCCCCCCCTCTCCACTTCCTAGCACCCACCAGCCCCTCCCTGGCATCCAGAGGCGGGGGCAGCCCAGACAAGGGGACCCTGCAGGGCACAGTTCAGACACAGCCAAGAGGAGCAGAGGGCACAGGGCTGGGGGGCAGCCCAGGGCCCCCCCAACCTCCACGGACACAGGAGACCAGAGGGAAGGTACCGGACAGAACAAACAAACAAACAAACGTCAGAGGGACGAGGCAGAGCAAGGGGGACTCCCATGGCTCCAGCTCCCACCCCAGGCCAGGTCCCAGCCCCAGGTGGGTGTCAGGGGAGTTGGGTCAGGCTGGGACCGGTGTGGACGAGGAGAGAGGGGAGCCTGGCACCCCCCAAGCCCTCAGCACAGTGGCAGCGAGGATAGCACACCATCCAGAGGGGTGGTCACGCCAGCCTGAAGCCCCACAGCTGCATGTGGGGATGTTCCCGCCCTGCAGGAGTGAAGGGGATGGCCAAAAGGACCTTCTCCCGCATTCCCGGCCAGCCTGGGGATGCTCCCACCGCGCGGGCGTCACTGGGAGCAGGGGGCTCTGGGTGCACCCCGAAAAGCCCCCAGGCGGGTTTCTCCAGCAGCTTTATCCTGGTGGGTGCCAGCACAGGCAACCCTTTCCTTGCCTCCCTGCCACGGTGTCAGTCCTTCTCCTGCACCAGGCTCTCCTCCGTGATGCCCTGGGCCGCCAGCTCGGCCAGGACATTGTCCAGGTAGTTGATGTCAGGGTAGCCGTGGCCAGTGAGGTTGGAGCCGAACTCTGTCTTGTGGTGGATCTCGTTCCAGATCACCGTGTCCGACTCGCCCGTGGTGCTGGAGGTCCCAATGGCGAAGATCAGGCGCCGGTCCCAGGCTACCAGCAGCAACCTCAGTACCTGTGGAGGCGGGAGAGGGGGCAGGCAGCAAAGCACACACCGGGTGGGGAAGCACCTGCTTCTGTTCAAGGCACGCCCAATCATCCTGGTGTGCCCTGGCAACATGGGCAACCCACAGCCAAGCCCTGCAGGGAGCTCGGGGGATCCCAGCACAGGGTCCTGCCCCAGCCAAAACCAAGGGACCAGCCTGCTGAGCTCCCCCAGGCACACGGGAAGGTTCTCCACGGGAAAACCTCCCCCTGAGCAAGTCCGTTTTTCCCCACGCTCCCCCTCGACACGCCTTGGCCAGCTGGAGCTGCCCAGGTGAGCCCCTCACCTTCCTGCCCTTCTCGCTGTCTGGCAGGTAGCAGTGCCGGGGGAAGCCACGGGCCGTGAAGCTCTTCCCAGGGTTTGGATGCTCCGGTCCCTGCAACGTGGCAAGCGGGAGAAGAAAACCCTTTTGGAGATCAAAAGGATGCTCTGGGCACAAGGTAACCCCCCCCCAGCCTCAGTGGACACAAATTGCCACCATCCCCCTGCCACCAGGCAGACAGGGACAACACTCCCACGCAGGCACAACCCAGACTTCCCACAACATCCTTACGGACAAGCAGCTCCTGAGTAAAGGCACGAGCTGCAGCACGACCTGGGGGGTAACACAGCAGCAACGAGGGCCACCAGCCCCACGGGGGATCTCCCACATACCCGCCCTGGCCACGGGGCCAGGCCTCACCTGCACCCCCGGGGGGATGTTGTAGATGATGCGGATGGTTTTGCAGTCGGCGTGGCCGGGCAGCGCGTGAGGGATGATGTGATACTCCATCTTCCCCGGGGGCTGCGTCCCCGTCTTCACCCCGTAGATGGTTTTGCAGGTGGGACACTGCAGGCTCCCGTCCTGAGAGCAGGAAGAGGGGAACACACTGAAACGCGTGTCCACAAGCCACGCCAGGCACTCGGTGCCTGAGCGGCACTGAGCGCTGCTTTAATCGTGAAAGCCACCAAAAAACCACCCAGGAAGCGCGGGATAGGGCTGGGGGAATTCACTATGGCTACCCAGCTTCACCCAAAAACCCGAGGTCTGTGTTTCTCTTCCCCATCAGTTTTTCATTGCTTTCCCTACCTCTGATTTGGTGGTGTTTTTTTTTCTTTGTTTGTTTGTTGTTTTTTTAAGGGAGAAATATAATAAATATTAAAAATCTCCAAGCAATGTGGAACGCATTTTCTAGGGAATGTCAGGCAATTTACAGCGGGCTCAGGAAAGCTCTCCTGTGGCTGGAAAAGCACTGCCTAGCACCAGATTCCAGGCAGCTCTGCTCAAACATCCAGGGGATGAAAGTTCACCCTGGGAAGGAAAGCAAGCACATAAAACTGGGCACAGTGGAGGGAAAACACATCCCAGGTTCTGACTCAGCAGTCCCAAAGCGCTCGCCGCTGATCAAAATTAAACTGTGTCAGGGTGGGAGGTCAGAGTCCTCTGGGGCAGCAGGACTCGAGCGTTGCCCCCCCAGGAGCAGGGGAAGCTCAGCACAGGCCGCCAAGCCGAGGCCACTCACCTTGTTGCCGTTGTTGTACATGGCCACCAGGCAGTGGAGGTGGAAGACGTGGCTACACTTGACCAGCTTCCCCACGAGGTCAGGCTTGACGGCTGGCTGGGGGCCCTTGTAGCCAGAGGGGGCAGAGAGACGCTCCATGCAGATGGTGCAGTCCTGCACGGGAGGGGAGGAGAGGGATCACACAGATGGATGCAGCCAGAGCCAAGGACACGGGGCTGATGAGCTGCCCTGGGACCAGCACCCACCCCTGGGGCTGGGCTGCCACCCCTGGCCTGCACGTCCCTCCTCTTTGGAGACAGGGAAGAGCCATGAGGGGTGGTGGGACACCCCTGCACGGGAAGGGAGGAGATCCCCACATGGCCCAGGGCATCGTGCGCGTCCCGCTGCCCACCCCAGAGCAAAGCACCCCGGGGACACCCCAGCACAAGCCCCGCCGCTCGCACCTCGTCCGGCGGATGCCGCACCTTCTGCAGGTACTTTTTCAGTACCTCCTCCGGGGTTTTACCTGTGGGAGAGCGAGAGTCAGAGGGAGAAACCCACTGCCAGGGGCAGCAGAGGGGACGGGGGGCACAGGGGAACCAGGTAGGGAAGGGGGGACAGGGGCCAAGCAGCAAAGTGCCTCTCACCCTTCTTGGCCTGTTTCTTGGTGGTCTTGCGGCAGGTGTGGGAGATGCCGGGGATGGACTGGATCTCGCTCTTGCTGACGGGCGGGGGGTGCAGCACCAGCTTGGGGGGCCGTGTCAGGCACACGGGCAGCCCGGCCGCGCTCATCAGGATCCCCGTGATCCCTGGGAGAAACGGGGCTTTGAAACAGCGCCGAGGAACCAGCCACACCTCAAACCCCACGTGATCCCCAAAAACTGCCCCGCGGGGGTTGTCTGTCCCCCTACCCCAGGGCTGTTTATCCTTCCACCCCAGGGAGCCCAGCGCCCACGGGCACCCGCTGTGGCCCCATCCTCACCTGCCAGTGCTGGGTTGACGGGGCTGGAGCCAGTGAGGTTCTTCACAGGGACAGTGGGGACCCTGAGGGGAGCCAGCAGAGACCACGTCAGGAGCGGTGGCAGCACCCACGTCCCCACAGGGCCCAGGGGCCAGACAACAGTTGCCTGAGCAACTGCACGGGCCCTGGCTGGAAACAGAGAATCCCCCGACAGGGCAATGTGCCCCCCCTGCCCCACCACCGCCTTTTCTCTGGCGCTTTAGAAACCCTGCCTGCATCTCCATTCATGGTCCCTTTTTGTCACTGCTCCTCAGGCCAATCTGTTGTTTCTTTTCCTCTTTTCTCCTATGGCCACGTCACTGCCACAGCTCTTTCCCCCCCCCCCTCCCCTTGGGGCTCTCTTCCATGGGAAAGTTTCCCGGCAGGTCAGGAGCAGAGGGAAGGGGGAGGATGGAGAGGGAGAGGAAAGGGGCCAGGCTGTGACAGAAGGCTGACGGCAGAGTCAGACAAAGGGGAGAAACAGGCTCATTAAATGTCCACCCCCTCACAAAAATGTGTCTTTGGTGGGTGGGGGTCTGGAGGGACCCCTTCTCATGGGGCATGAATGGCTTTTCTTTGGGCCTTTCGCAGTCCCTCACCCAACCCCTGCCTCCAAGAGAAAGAGCAGCCTCAGCCTCTTCATTGAGATGCAGGAGCCACCCCGTCCCCGCTCCAGTCCCCAGGCACCTGCAGGGAAGGCGAGGGGCCCAGCAGAGCCCCCTGGCCCCGGGAGCTTGGGGAGCGCTGAGGTCCGTCTCCCACCAGGCTCAGAGCTGGCAGGGCCCCTCCGTGCCCTGGGGAGGGGGGAAAAGCTTGCGCTGCCCCTCCCTCCCTCCAGGCACCCCCTCGCTTGCTGGTACTCAGCGGGACTCACCCCGAGGCGATGAGCACGCGGGACTGGGCGATGGCCAGGCGCTGGAGGTGGCTGCGGTTCAGGGTGCCGAGGCCAGGACGGGCCGCTTTGCCACTGCCGGCACCGGGTGGGCTGCCGGTGGAGCCGGCCGAGCTGAGGGCGGGCGTGCTGGCCGCCTGACGCCGGCCCCCCTGGGCCGCCAGCGGCTTCAGTGAGCCGCGCACCACGGCCACACCGTCGGGCGCCTTGGTCCCCGGGGCGGGCGCCGGGGCTTTGGGGGCAGTCGGCGGCGGGGCGGGGGCTTTGCGGGGCTGCAGGGTGGCGGTGCCGGGGCCGGCGGCCGACACGGTGGCTTTGACGCTCATGACCAGGAGGCACTGGGGACAGGTGCAGGCGGGGACCGGTGGGGCTGCCGCCGCCCCGGGGCTGGCCGGCCACGACTGGGACTTGGGCAGGGTGCCCGAGACCAGCGGGTAGACCATGTCGAGCCTGCGGCGGACGCGGCGCTTGCGCTGGGTCTGCCGGTTGATCTGCCCCATGGTGGCGAAGTCGATGACGTAGCAGAAGCCGATGGCGCTCAGGTCCACCCAGGGGTGCTGCTTCTCGTAGGCACGCTGGATGGTGATGCCCACGTCCATGTCATAGGGCGTCCACGTCCCGCTGTCATTCTCCCACTCCCAGACGACTCCCTTGCCGGGCGCCGACGATGGGTCGTAGTAGCTGCGCCGGACGGGGCGGATCGTGCCTGAGGGAGGGTGACAGACGCAGTCAGACCCTGGCGCCAGCACCCACCTGTGGGCAGGGAGCAAAACCACCCCAACCTGCCCCGCCGGCGCCATCCACACGGGGACAGGACGGCTTTCCGGCTCAGCTGCCGTCCCCGCCCTGCCAGGGGACTGGCGTGCCTTGGGCTCCCCCGGCTGCTGCCTGCGAGCCGCCCTGCCACAAAGCACCCCGAAGTCCGTGCACGGCCCAGGGGTGCTCCCCCAGTGCGACTGGGCTGAAGGGAAGGGCGGATCTCCCGCCCAGCGCTCTCAGCCCCGGCGTGCGGCCACTCAGCCCCGCTGGGGAAACTCGGCAACGCAAGTTTGGCTGCTCCATCCTGCTCCCGGGGACCTCCCGCGGGAGCCTGATGAAACCAGGCATTAGGGCACCAGAGTCCTGCAGTGCCTGGCACTGTCTCCCTCTCAGCTCTGGACTGGAAGAGGTTCCAATAAAAGATCTCAGGGGCATCTCCGAGCCCCCCAGCAGTGGCACACATGGGCACTCATGCACCCAGGGGAGTGGGGTTCGTGCCAGCCCCACCATCTGCAGCTCCCAAACCGGCCCACGATGAAAACCCAGACTGTGGCAGAGGGAAAATCCCTGTGAGGCCAAGCAAAGGAGTTTGAGTGGGGCCCTGTGCCTGGCTCCTGCTCCCCCATCAGCAAACATCAGGAGCGGGATGAGAGCACACAAAGCACAAAAGTTCTGTGCCCTGCATCCATATTTTTGCCAGGTGTTTCCTTTCCCAGCACTCTCAGTCAACTAGGAGGCATTCAAAGCATGGACAGAGATTTTGGAAACTCCTACAATGAGGAGAAAACCTTCTTCTTTGGGATGTCTAACGGAATGGCAAGGCAGGCTGAACATGGCCAGGCTCAGCCCTGGGGTCCCATCCTGAGCATGTTATTCCAGAGGTGTTTGTGTAACAGGTGGGATGAGCTCCCAAGCGGTGCTGCCTCCACATCCCCGTGCAGAACCCCACGGCTCAGCCCTGCTGCCAGCACTGGGAACAAGAAAGCTCAAAGAGAAGAAACAACAAGCCTGCTGCTTCGGCTTTTCACCACGTGTCCTGCAAAGCCTGCAAGAATTTCAGTGCCTTTTCACCCCCACCACTCTGCAGGGAGCAGCCACCGCCGCTGGTCCCACAGGGCCACGTCTCACACACAAGTGGGATAAAAACGAGAAGTTGTTTGTTGTTTGCTGTGGTGCGTGGGGTACAGCTACACCCCAGGCAAGCCAAGCCACCGGCCCTGTCCTGCGAAGGAGCACCCAGGTCAGAAAAGCCGCAGGCGCTGGACGCACAAAGCGGGCCGGAGGGTGATTTATCCTAATCCGGCGGTGGCATGCGGCATCTGGCGGTCCCCAGGCAGCAGTGTGGGAATGCTGTGTGTTCCCCCAGCCCCGCGCCGCCAGCCGGCCTCCCATTCAACAGGGGAAGAAAGGGAACAATAGCTATTCAGGGCCTGCCAGGGTCGCGACCCCCCCAAATCAGAGCTGTTTAATGACCCAAAATACCAACATCCCCAGCAACCCAGGGAGAGACAGAACAATCTCCCTTTCAGTCCTCCACCCTGGGCAACAATAGCCCTCAGAAGCTGGCCCCCAGCCCCCTCTCCGCAGAGGTCCCTTGTCCCCACACCCCCGGGCAGGGGAGGGTCGCCGCCAGCCCCCAAGGCTGCTGGGGGAAGAAGGACAAAGGAGGGTGTCTGGCACTCTGCTGCACCCAGCACCCCCCGCCCCAGGGACAAAGCGCACTGGCCGTCACAGGGCTGCTGGGGGGTCACAAACCCCGCTGTGCCAACTCCCCTGCCACGGGTGCTTGTGGTCCCGCATCCCAGACAACCCCAGAGCCCTCCACCTGTGGGGACAGACAACCCCCATCACCCGCCTGTGCCCTCCCTGAGCATCCCCCCACCTGCTTGTGCCCCCTCCCTGGGCACCCC